TGGGCTCGCTCTGTCTGTGCGTCCCCGTGGGCTCGCTCTGTGCGTCCCCGTGGGCTCGCTCTGTCTGTGCGTCCCCTGGGGCTCGCTCTGTCTGTGCGTCCCCGTGGGCTCGCTCTATCTGTGCGTCCCTGTGGGCAGGCTCTCTGAACCGCTGACCCCTCCATCATGCCCGTACACACTACATAGACCAAAGCCCAGTGTGAACGTCTCCAGGGAAGCAGGGAATGAGGCTGACTGGCTGCACTGTGATGCCCGCGTCATTGTGGAGGTCTGGGACGGAACCCCAAACGTCTCTGAGGTCCGAGAGACAGGACCCCAGGGCAGGCGAGAAGAGCAGTCAGCTGACTGGGAGCCTGCACCCCAATTGCATCAGGTTGGGAGGGCTTCGGAAGGCTGCCTGTCCTGGAGGTCTGTTGGTGTCCTTGTTTGCACTGACCATGATTCGTGAGTGACCATGATCAGGGTCACACCCCAGAACCGTCCCCAGAGCCACTGGAGGAAAAGTTGTCCCTCTGGGAACTTCAGGCAAGAACAGAAGGGGTGGACGTGAATGCCTGTCCCAGTGCCTGCCCCCCGTCACCAGATCGGACTTCAATGCTGGGACCACCCAGTGCTGGTGGTGGCAGGGTGTCGTGGGTGGGGAGAGGGGCTGCCAACACAAGTAGGGGTTCCCGTGTCTCGCATGGGGCCTCTGTGGAGCCACCTTTGTGTTCTTTAAAAGCACCGCGAACAAAGACTTCCAGCTCATTGCCGTCAAGTCAGAACTGACTCTCAGCTGACTCTCCAATGGGATTCCAGTGGCTGGAAATCACATGGGAAGAGATCGAACCACCTTGCTCCTAAGGAGCCGCTGCTGGGTTTGAACTGCCAAAGAGACACTGCCTTTGGGTTAAGAGTGCAGATCCCCATAACCAGACCCACTGTCCTCCGGTCGCTTCTGACTCAGAGCCCACGGAAGAGAACAGCCGCCCCGCGGTGCTTCCAGGGCTGTCAGGTTGACAGACACCCGCTGTTTGCCCTGATCCCACACAGCGGTTCTGTAGGCTCTTCTGGTTTGGGGGGGCACAGTCTGTAGGGAGCTGTGCTGGTGACCCAAAGGCTACGCCACACCTCTGCCTCTGGTGGTTCAACGCCAGCCACAGCCTAGGAGAAAGATGAGCGGTCTCCTCCCATTCAGTTTACAGCCTGAGGAAATGCATCGGACATCAGCTGGGGCTCGGGTCCAGCTCAGCGGCGGGGAACTTTGTTGCGGGAGATTTGTGTTGAGGGTGTTGTTTTCAGATGCTGGGTTAGCTGTTTAGGTAAGAACGTGTGGTATGAAATTTGTAAGTCCATCGGCTAACACCGATTGTTCCAGAAAAATTTTCCTTCCTCACACCCCCCACCCCATCCAGAAATGTATTCCTTTTTTCCTCATGTTGATTTTCTCCAGGAAATTACAAGTGATCTTTAGGATCAAAAGGATTTTCATCTCATTTCCTCTGAAGAATTCAGCATGTTGTTTTCTCTGTGAAAACTCAGGGCGATGGGGGCGGGTTTCAGTCAGGTTCTGAGAGCCTGGGGGAGGGTCCTATCTACTGGAGCTTTTGTCTTACTTGGGGCTGGTGGTGCAGTATTGCTTTATGTGTTGTGCTGTTAACTGTAAGGTCAGTGGTTCAAATCCCCCGACTGCTCTGTGGGATAAAGACGTGGCAATTTGCTTCAGTAAAGATTTTGTCTTTCATCCCTCCTGGCCGTCAAGTGAGAGCTGACTCATAGCAGACCCTCCAGCAGGTTTTCACATCAACCCCGACTCCTGGTGCCCCCACATGCAGCACAGCAGAACCCCACCTGTCCTGCACCCCCTCGCTGACCCCACTGTGCTCTACCCTATGTTGTTCCTGCTGTGTCAGGCCATCTTGTTGAGAGTCTTCTCTTCCACTGACCTTTCACCTTCCCTAGCATGATGTCCTTCTGCAGGGACTGGCCCCTCCGGGAGGGTCGCCATGGGTCGGAATCCACGGCAGTGGGTTGGGTTTGGGTTTTCTGTATGAAACATTAGATCCTGTTCTACCAGAGATGCCCTGTAGATGCTCCTCCCCTGAATACCCAACGGGGGCTCCCCAAGTCAGGTACTCTCCCCGCTGACTTTGGAGTGGCTTCTAGAATGTGGCTGGTGACCAGGTGCACACAGTCCCAAAGACCAGGAGCCACAGGGCCAAGGGTGTCTGCTCTGTCCTCAGATGCCCAGCTGGAGGGTGGCATCCGGGGTGGAGAAATGAGAGCTAGATAGCATCTCCCCGTGCCCGTCTGTGTCACCCCGCTTCACTGAGCGTCCTCTCTGCTTCACAGTTCTCACAGGAGAACCATGAGTAGGGAGCGGCAGTGACCACATCACCATGGCCCTCTTGACGAGGGGAGACCATCGGGTGCCCCATTCTGCCCTGAGTGTTGATCTATGAGCTACAGATGGGGCTCGGGGCTGGAGGTCCAGCCGCATGCAGACCAGAGCCGAGTGGAGAGGTGGGGGAGACACAGTGGTCAGGCAGGGAGGGAGACACAGTGGGCCTGGTGACAGTGCTTCTTGTCCCCACATGTGTCCAGCGGCTCAGGTTCCTGACATCCAGCCTGTTGCTGTCTGCCCACAATGACCCACCTGCCTTCACCCCAGAGTTTCTGGGAGCCTTTGGGGTAGACGGTGGTCCCTAGAGCCACCGCCAGCCGCTCGGACCTGAGCCCGAGCTTCCTGCTGCCCTACTGTGGGCAGTAGTGTCCGAGGCGCCACAGTCAGCACCCCGTGAACCCTTCCCGCGCAGCGTAGAGGAACCCCAGCATTGCTGTGCAGGCAGCTCTGGGGGGGGTGTCCACAGCCAAGCTGTGCTCTGCAGGCCTTTCTCGGCCGCCATTGCTGTGGGAGCGAGTTGCCAGGCCTCTTCCGTGGCACCACTGGGCAGCTTCTAACTGCCAGCCTATTGGACAGCCAAACCCAAACCCAGCCCGCCGACTCTGGGCCGCCCTCCATCGGGTTTCTGAGGCCTTAAATCTCTGCAGGAGGAGACTGCCCCACTTTCTTCGAAGGAGCAACCGGTGGGTTCAAACTGCTGACCTTATGAGACAGGGAAAGTGTGTTAGGCCTCCAGGGCTCTGAATGGAAGTATGAGTTTGGGGCCATCAAGGAGCCCCAGGCCTGTCAGGCGTCCTGAACCCAGTACTTTTGGGGGGGTTACACAGCTTGACACTCTCAGTGCCGAGGGTCCCTGGGCCCACTGTGGCGACTGTTGGAACACCCAGCTTCAAAGTCTCAGCTCTTCTGTTTCCGTGAATCCTCTGTTCACAGCCGGTCATCACTCCATTCTCTGAGCTGAAAGCTTGTTGCCCGGGAACATCCCAAGACTCACAGATCTAGGTGTGTCAGGGAGGACAGCGTGTCCCCCGGATTTCCATGGCTGATCTCCCCTAAGTAGATTGCCAGACCTTTCTTCTGAGGCAACTCTGGGTCAGTTTGAACTTCCTGCCTTTGGGTTGGCAGCCAAGGATCCCTGTTACCCTCTAGAACCCTGTGTGCTCTCCAGGTGTGTGTGTGGGGGGGGGGGGGGGGGGTGTCTCGTATTCTCTTTCCACCGCTGGCTTAGTCAGAACACAGCTGTTATCTAAACATGCCAGGCTCTGGTGGGCCTGAGCTGCATCAGGAGACCTTACTGCCGAGCCTGGAAGGGCACTCTGGGGGGAACTGGGCTGCCAGCACTGAGGGTCACCTCTCTAGCAGTTCAAAACGGCTCCGTGGGAGACAGATGGGCAATCTCCTCTTGTGAGATTTACAGCCTCAGAAAACCAGCCTGAGGGTAAAGGTCTGAGTCCCTCTGCCTCCACAGGACCGAGGCTGAGGGGCCCATGAATTTGGCAGCCCTCACCCTGACCTTTCTGGAAAGCCAGAGCCACTGCCCAGGAGAAAGCTTGGGTGACCCTTGCCTGCCACCCTCTGGCTCCTGTGCCTGCCCCTGAAATGTCACAGACTTGTCACCTGGAATCGCTGGTCTGATTTTGCCAAGCTGCTGAGATCTGAGGCTGGTGCCCAGTGGCCTCTGCTGTGAGGCCAGTCAGGGGTCACGGGGCCACTGCAGTCCTGAGGGGGTGTGGGTGGTAACCACATGACCACCCAGAGGTCAGGTGAGAGCATGATGACTAATTATTTGGCCATTCTCCTGTTTGCCTCACTTTTATTTTAATTAAATAAGTGGATCAAAATGAAATAATTCAGAGCCTGCTTTCAAAAGGTATTGTTTGGGATTTGGGTGGTTTTTTTTCCTGTTGTTTAATAAAATCCCATGTATTTTTAGCCATTTTAAAACCCCCTACCGTAGGTATTGAGATGATCACTTGTGTACTAGACGTATTTTGGGTGTTTATTGGGGCCCAGGGGAGGATTGAAGGGGAATGGAGGCGGGGGACATTGTGGTCTCTAGACATACGTGTTCTCCTCCCCACCCCCAGACCCGACTGCACTGGGGGGAGGTGTCTGGGAAGTGGGCGCTGCCGCCAGGGTCCAGCCACAGCCAGTGTTCCCATGAGACCAGCCATTATCTGGGGGTGTGAAGACTTCCCCTGCGCCCTGGCCGGGCAGCATGCTTGTACAAGCCCCATTTGTCCTCTGCGCTGACCGTGATGAATGGACAGACCAGGTGCTAGACCACGCTCCACAGACCCCATTGTGCCACAGGAAGCATGGGCACCCGGCCTGGGAACACTGCAGGGCTGTGTGTGCCGGGGGCCTTGGACGGGCACTGGGTGGGCACGGAGTCCGCCTCCCTCGTCCAGGACAGATGGGGCTCCGTGGTCGCCCTTCTCAGAGGAGACGGCACCCCGGCTTTGCCGGCTCAGAGAGCACCCTTCTTTTCTTCTTTAGGAAGAATCGCGCTGCAGAGTGACACTTGGGGGGTTCTGGGACGACGCTTCAGCGGGTGCTGTAGTGGTTGGAGAAGGACATGTGAAAGCGGAGCTGGCCCCAGGGAGAACCTTCTAGCATGGCAGCTCAGCGCATCCGAGCCACCAACTCCAGCGGCCTTCCCCGGTGCAAGTCCGAGGGGACCCTCATCGACGGCTTCTCGGAGTCAAGCTTTACCGACATCAAAGGTGAGCAGGTTTTTGTGGATCTCAGTCACAAAAGGACAAATCTTGCAGAGGGTCACTGTTGTAAAACGGGACTGACCTCAGGGTTGAGGGAAGACTGAAAAGGAGGCGAGGCCTGATGTAGACTGCATTGACACAAATGAGGGAGAGAACTGTTTAAAAGGGACATATGAATGGGTATTCTTGTCATTACAGAAGTCCAGAGTGAAGGCTTCATAGTAGGGGGGAGGGATTGTATAACAGTAAAAGTTTTTCTTTCTTTTCAAGGAGAAGAGTGAATGGGCAGCGGGGATTGGGGGGGCGGAGAAAAGTGCAATAATGGATGACGGGAAAACCCTAAGTCTCTGTAAACTTTCATTAAAATTAATTAAAAAAAAAACAAAGGTGAGCTGGGGAACAGGGTGGACACAGATGGAGGAGACCGAGATTCCCAGGAAGGAGCCTGGTAGCACAGTGGGTATTCTCTCGCTGCTAACCAAAAGGTCGATGGTTCGAGTCTGCCAGCTGTCCCCAGGCGCAAGTTGGGGCAATCTGTCCCCACTGGGTCACCACCTCGGAAGCCCTGCAGGGTGGTCCTGCCCTGTCCTTCGGGGCGTAGTGAGCTTCAGATTTAGCTTCGGTTTGATTTTAGGCTCGGAAACGTTCCTACATCCAAGCTGCCAAGTTAGCATTCAGATAATTAAATTTTCATGTCCAGTCTTCATCATGTTATATATTAAGCCCAGAACAATAACCTTAACAATAATCTTGTTTTGTTGGGAAGCCTCTTGAGTGGCCCTAACTCATGAAACTCCTTTTTAATAAGAAATATGTTTGTTTTCTCTTTGGATGACTTTTGGTAACAGTGAGGAAGAGATAACTGAAATTCATTGCTAGCGAGTCAGGTTTTCAGAGACTGTAAGTGACACAGGAGGAGAAAAATGAGTCCAGAAAACACATCCGAGCTTAAGACACACTTGGTCACAGTGACCTTCAGGGCAGAGTGGAACTCCCCGGGGGATTAGGGCTGTAACTTTATGGAAGCGGATTTACAGTGAGTTCAGCCCTCCAACGTGCTGGTTAACAGCTGAGCGATTTAACCTGCTCTCTTTGGAGAATTGTCGCAGGGAAGAGGAGGCTGCCCTCGCCCAAGGCCCGAAGGACAACAGACTTGCACTGCAGGCCGCATGCTCTCGTTACACCCACTTTCTCTGCCCTTGTGCTGTGAAATCAGCCACCGAAATGGGCAAACAAATGGATGTGACTGAGCTAATGAAACTCTGTTTACAAAATCAAGTGGCCACAGAAATGGGCAAACTAATGGGTCTGGATGGCTGCGTTCCAATAAAACTTTATCTACAAAACTCAGGCAATCACAGAAAGGGACAAATAGAGGAATGTGGCTGTGTTTGTTAACACTATATAGACAAACTCAGGCAGCCAGCTCGCGTGCCGGTAGCCCCAGGATTTGGTCATGAAAATGGCTAATGAGGAAACCCATCATTTGGGCCTGGAGACGGATCGTGTTCTTCTGTGGAGTCCACGCTGCCCTCGGCCTCTCCCCGTGTGCTCCTGAGAACGTCTGTCACTGTTGGTGTTAGCATCATGACTGGCTTTCTTACAGCCTTTCTCAGAGGGTGCCAAAGGCAGGTTTTGGGAGGAAGTAATTTTCTGAGGTGCTTCTGGGCAGACCCGAACCTCCAACCTTTCATACAGCAGTTCAGCACGATAACGGTTTGCACCCCAGGTACACCTAAAACCAGTGGCTTTCAGCTGACTGCACCCCCATGAGTGTCAGGCGTTGAGATGACTGGTTTGCAGAAGTGGATACCTGGGACTTTCTTAGGGTGGACTTGAACTGCCAGCCTCCTAGTTAGCAGGTGCCCCACCCAGGAGAACTTCTGTCTGTCTGTGTGTCCTTGGAAGAGGATGGTGTATGAGCAGTCTGAGCCTAGATCCTGGGATCACCAGGACCACAGTCTGAGACCCCAGGGCATATGTGAGAGGCCGTGTGACCCCCCCCCCCCCCCCCCCCCCCCCCCCCCCCCCCCCCCAGTTTCTCAGGCACCCAGGTGACAGACAGCTCGGGAGTGCACACAAGCCGGAATACCTGCTGGGAGATCTTCACCAGCATGATTAGGGTTTTGTCTGTATAAGAATTTACGCCCAGGAATGGGCAATATATTGTTCAGCGTGTTGATCTCCTTGACACATGGAGGGTTTTTTAGTATTAAAATCAAGGTAGCGGTGGTTTTCCCCTGGTCTGTCTGTCTATCTCCAGACCAAGGTATCCTGCCTGGGAACCCTGTAATAAAGCTGCTTTAAGCTTTAAGGAAAAAAAGAAAAAAATCAAATCAAAGCAGCTGTAGCTCTGGGTAGCACCCTGTGGAATTCGTTGTTATTGGGTTGAGATTTTCCAGTGTTTGAGGAGGTGGAAGTGCAGGTGGCCGTCGAGTGTTGCCTTGGGGAGGGGTCCCCGCCACAGGCTCTTTTTCATGGTGGTCCTAAGCGGGGGGGGGTGGAAGAGCACACCCAGGCTGGGTGTGATGCTGAAGTGAAGTGTATATGTTGCAGTGTCAGTTTTGATGTTGCTGTTGTGTTATTGTTAGGTGCCTTCGAGTCATGTACAACTCATGGCGGCTGTGTGAACAACAGATCTGAACTCTCTCCTGTCTCATTTCTGCCTTCTCATTTCTGACATCCTCGAGCCTCTTGCAGCAGTCACCCTGTCAATCCATCTGCTTCAAGGTCTTCCACTATTTACCTATTGACCTGTGACTCTAGAAACCCAGAGCCCGGCCCTGTTCTGCTCCATCCTTCCAGTCTCCGCGCGCTCACTCCCATTGCTGCAGTCACTGTGCCAATCGTTTCGCTGAGGGTCTCCCTTTCTTTCCCCCTCCACCTTTCCTACCATGACGTTCTGATGTGAACATGCAGAATTTTAATTTAGAACTATTTTTATTCCTCCATCTGTGGTCATGTGTGGGGGTGCATTTTCTTGGACCATGTGCAAAGCATGCTTTCATTTTTTATTTTTATACTCCTGCTTCGTGATAATTACTCCTGAGAACGTAAGCATATAGCCTTTGAGGAATTCTAACAAGATTTCTAGATAGCTCTGGTAGCCTGGTGGTATGAAGCTGCGTTGCAATCACAAAGGCACGTGGTTCGAATCCCCCAGCTTCTCTGCTGGACAAGGATGGACAGTCTCCTCCCATTCAGTCTCCTGCCTCTGGAAACCCACTGGAGGGTCAGCTGTTGGTTGGTTCAGGCACAATAGCACAGACGATGATGGCTAGCATGCTTTCTTTCATTTCTGTTTGATTTTCATGGAGTGCAGTAATTAAACACTTGGCTGCTAATCTAAAGGACAGTTATTCGAATCCACCATCAGCTCCACTAGAGAAAGAAATGATAATCTGCTTGCACAAAGATTTACAGCTTCAAAAACCCCATGGGCAATTCCATCCTGTCCTGTGGTCACTGCGAGATAAAATAGACACAGTGGCGGTAGGTTTGTGGGGGGTTTTTTGTTGTTGTTTTGTGTCAGAGAAACAAGACAGTGTGTATGTGTGTGACTGGCAGACAGAAGCGGGAGAACCACCTGCTTTGAGGGGGTTCTGTCTCATGGAGCCGGCACGTGTGTGGTTAGAACTGTGCAGTGAGGTGCCTCCTGGGGCTGATGGTTTTGGAAATAGATCACCTGGCCTTTCCTCAAAGGCGGCTCTGGCTGGATTTGAACCACCAACATTGTGGCTAGCAGCTGACTGCATTCACCACATGCACTGCCCAGGGATGCAGACATGGGTGAGATGAACTCTGACCTCAGCCTGCCGGGTCTCCTCTATCTCTGACTTTCAGGTTGGGCCACTTCCTCTGCTTTCCCGCTCTTACCCACTCTCTGCCCTAGTGCCCTGGGGCACTCTGTCCTTTTATAGTAGATGCAGAGCCCAGGCACTTCTGACTTGGCATTTGGGCCAGCACTTTGCTAAGTTTCTCGTGAGTGTCCTCTCCAGAATGTAATCTCAGAGGAGAATGACTCACTCTCCGTATTTGTCGAGTACCTACTATGTGCCAAAGGAGCCCTCGTGGTATAGCTGATTATATGTTAGCCTGCTCACAAAAAGGTCCATGGTTCAAATCCACTAGCCTCTCTCCAGGGGAGAAAGATGAGGTCACCTAGTTCTGTAAACATTTACCATCCCAGACACCAGAAGGAAGACTGCCATGAGTCACAATTGACTTGACAGCATGGATTTGGGTTTTTATGTGTTGTTTTACTTTGTGCCAAGAGCTCACTGGTTAAAGCAATTGGCTACCAACCAAAAGTTCAGGCCCACCAGACCTGCCCCAAGGGAAAGGTGAAATATTTGCTTCTGTGCCCATCTCAGCCTCGGGGACCCCCTCGAGCAGCTCTACTCTGTCTGGCTTGATCGCTCACTGTACTGGCTCAGTGTCTGTGGTTTGGTTTTGCTTTGGTTACAAGGTGTCGCACCCTGTTCCCAGAGAGGAACCAGAGAGGCAGCAGTGAACAGCCGATTCCTAGTGGGGCCATGGAACCTGCCTTGCAAAATAAAAACCCATCTGTGAAGTGCATGATAGGCTGTGTTCTGTGCTAATGGAGAAAATAAAATCAGGCAGGGGGTTGGAGAGGGCAGATTTCACACAGCGCCTGGAGGGTCCTTCCCTTGGACTAAACTCTGTCAGCATCATGTCATCACGTCCTCACCGTAACCCCATGAGCTAACTTTTCCATCCAGCGGTGAGTGCAGAGCCTGGATTCAAGCCCAGAACTAGTGATCCCACACACAAGTTCTTCACAACTCTCAGTTGGATGGATGGCCTAGGGCTGCCACAGGCAGCCTGTATGTACGCACACATATGTCTGAGAAAGAGGCAGTGCAGTATCTTGAGACCACAGCACAATGAGCTATGCTTTATTTGTGTTTGTCTGGGTTGAAGCCCCCTGAGTCCCACAACAGTTAACATGTTTAGCTACTAACTGAAAGAATGGAAATTCCAGTCTACATAGAGTCACCTCAGAAAGTAGCCTAGCGATCTCCTGAACTCTGCCTTGGGCAACCCCAGGGGGCACCACCGCTGTGCACGCACATGCACACACACACACACACAAACGTACACAAACCCCATCAGAGCAGACCCGGCAGGAGCCCGTGGATTGTTTGCCCAGGCTGTTTTGTGCACGCGCTGTGATACTGGTGTGTTTGGGGAGCCCGAGAGCAGTCCCCAACTTGCTCTCACCTCTCTCTCTTTGTGTCTCCCACAGTGCCTTCCCCCAGTGCCTTGCTCGTAGACAATCCTACGCCGTTCGGAAACGCCAAGGAGGTGATAGCAATCAGGGACTACTGTCCCAACAACTTCACCACGCTCAAGTTCTCCAAGGGCGACCACCTGTACATCTTGGACTCGTCAGGCGGCGAGTGGTGGTACGCACACAACACCACCGAGATGGGCTACATCCCCGCCGCCTACGTGCAGCCCCTGAACTACCGCAACTCGACGCTGAGTGACAGTGGCATGATTGACAACCTCCCGGACAGCCCAGACGAGGTCGCCAAGGAGCTGGATGTGCGGGGGGCGTGGACAGATGATAAGAAGGGGTCAGATGATAAGAAGGGGTCAGGCAAAGCCTACAGTAATAACCCTTTCTGGAAAGGGGTGCAAATGAACCCATTCCTGAACGGGACCACGCCGGCAATGCCCAGCACGGATGAGCTGAACTCTAAAAGTACCGTGCTCTTCAACCCGGGCGTGCCCTCTCACCCCGAGCCCGGCTCCAGCACCACCAACATCTTCGACGAGCTCCCGGCCTCCCACCGCCTCGCCTCGGAGGAGCCGACTGTCCGGCGCAACAACCCCTTCTTCCGGAGCAAGCGCTCCTACAGCTTGTCGGAGCTCTCCGTCCTCCAGGCCAAGTCGGACGCCCCCGCGTCCTCGGGCTTCTTCACGGGGCTCAAGTCCCCCGCCCCCGAGCAGTTCCAGAGCCGGGAGGACTTCCGCACCGCCTGGCTTCACCACCGCAAGCTCGCCCGGTCTTGCCACGACTTGGATCTGCTGGGCCAGAGCCCAGGCTGGGGCCAGACGCAGGCGTTGGAGACCAACATCGTGTGCAAACTGGACAGCTCCGGGGGTGTCCTGCAGCTCCCTGACACCAGCATCACCATCCACGTGCCCGAGGGGCACGTGGCCCCCGGCGACACTCAGCAGATCTCGGTGAAGGCACTGCTGGACCCGCCGCTGGAGCTCAACAGTGACAGGTCGAGCAGCGTCAGCCCGCTGCTGGAGGTGAAGCTGAGCAACCTGGAGGTCAGGACCCCCATCAGCCTGCACATTAAAGTCTCCGCTGAGGTGAAGAGCGAACATTTCAGCACCAGCTCGGTGAGTCTGCAGTGCCTGAGGAGTGACTCGAAGGAGGGCCCCTACGTCCACATCCCTCTCAACTACAGCCACGGGGACACGGTCCAGGTGCACCTGGAGAACCTGGAGCCCTGCATGTACCTGGCCATCGTCGCTCACAGCGCCAGCATCCTCTACCCGGCCACTGTGTGGGATTTCATCCACAAAAAGGTCACCGTGGGCCTCTACGGTCCCAAGCACATCCATCCGTCCTTCAAAACGGTGGTGACCATCTTCGGGCACGACTGTGCCCCGAAGACGCTCCTGGTCAGCGAGGTCACCCGCCAGGCCCCCAGCCCCGCCCCTGTGGCCCTGCATCTCTGGGGCAAGCACCAGTTCGTACTGTCCCGGCCTCAGGACCTCAAAATTTGTATGTACTCCAACATGACCAACTACGAGGTGAGGGCCAGCGAGCAAGCCAAGGTGGTGAGAGGGTTCCAGATAAAACTAGGCAAGGTGAGCCGCCTCATCTTCCCCATCACCTGCCACAAACCCGGCGAGCTCTCCGACTTCACCCTGAGGGTCCAGGTGAAGGATGACCAGGGCGCCATCCTCACCCAGTTCTGCGTCCAGACGCCCCAGCCCCCACCCAAGAGCGCCATCAAGCCAAGTGGCCAGAGGAGGTTCCTCAAGAAGAACGAGGTGGGCAAGATCACCCTGTCCCCGTTTGCCGCCAGCACCAAGTACCCGACCTTTCAGGACCGGCCCGTGGCCAGCCTCAAGTTTGGCAAGTTGCTCAAGACGGTGGTGCGGCAGAGCAAGAACCACTACCTGCTGGAGTACAAGAAGGGCGACATGATCGCCCTGCTCAGCGAGGAGAAGGTCCGGTTCAAGGGCCAGCTGTGGACCAAGGAGTGGTACATCGGCTACTACCAGGGCAAGGTGGGGCTGGTGCACGCCAAGAACGTGCTGGTGGTGGGCAAGGCCAAGCCCAGCGTCTTCTCGGGCCCGGAGCTGAGCACGTCGGCGCTGCTGGAGCAAATCCTGCAGCCCTGCAAGTTCCTCACCTACATCTACGCCTCGGTGAGGATGCTGCTCATGGCGAACATCAGCAGCTGGCGCACCTTCGCCGACACGCTGGGCTACGAGCACCTGCCGCTCACCGCCTTCTGCCGTGCCGAGCTGGACAACGAGTCAGAGTGCGTGGCGTCCGTCCTGGAGAAGCTGAAGGAGGACTGCAACATGGACAACATGGACAGGAGGTCCTTCCAGAAGGAGCTGATGATGGTGAGTGGCGCGTTCCAAGGGCAGGCGGGGGCTGTGCCTGGCGGTCTCCTCGATCCGTGTGGACATGGTGTGGGTGAAGGGTGGGGTCCCCAATCCACATGGCATGGTATGAGTAAAGGGTAGGGTCCCCGATCCACATGGCCATGGTGTGGGCAAAGGGCAGAGTTCTTGATCTGCGTGGACATGATGTGGTTGAAGGGTGTGGTGTCCGAAGAACGTGGACATGGTGTGGGCAAGAGGGTGGGGTCTCCGATCCATGTGCACATGATGTGGGTCCTTGATCTGCATGGGCATGGTGTGGATAAAGGTGGGGTCCCCGATCCACATGCCCATGGTGTGGGCAAAGGGTAGAGTTCTTGATCTGGGTGGGATCCCCGATCCATGTGGACGTGATGAAGGCAAACGGTGGGGTCCCCAATCCATGTGGACATGGTATGAGTGAAGGATAGGGGTCCTTGATCTACGTGGACATGGTGTGGGCGAAGGGTGGGACTGACTGTGCTGGGCCATCCTGCCCTGAGCAGTCTGGACATGGTGTGAGTGAAGGATAGGGGTCCTCGATCTGCATGGACATGGTGTGGGTAAAGGCAGGGTCCCCAGTCCACGTTGACATGGTGTGGGCAAAGGGTGGGACTGACTGTGCTGGGCCATCCTGCCCTGACCAGTATGGACTTGGTGTGAATGGAGGATGGAATAAGCCATGTGGGCTCTCTGTCTTGCATCCACATGGCCGTGGCATGGGTGACAGTGGGGTGGGCTGTATTGGCCATCTTTCCTTGACCCACCTGGACATAGGTTAGGGGTTATGGTGAACAGTCATCAGAAACCCATCTGATGGGATCTTTGCGGGATCCATGAGTAGCCAGCGCTCCACTGTGTTTTCTGTTGCACTTTGGAAGGAATTTGGGTGTGATCCCTAGCAAAGTCTAACCTTCAGTCTCTGCCAAGCCCTCCCAAGCTGATGGTGACCTATGAGTGGCAGAGCAGAGCTGCATTTCATAGTGGGGACCTTTTAGATGCAGATCACCAGGCCTTTCTTCTGAAGTACCTCAGAGGGGATTCGAACTCCTGGCTTCCCGTCAAGGGAGCTCTGGTAGCCCAGTGGTGAGGAGTTGTGCTGCCAACCCAAAGGCACAAAGCTTGAACCTGCCAGCCTGTCCTCCAGTGTGATTAACTGCCTCATAAGACTCACTGGAGGCTCAGGTGTGGATCAGTTCTGACTCCAGGGTCCATCACCACCACCCATGGAGTGCTGGAGCGCTTGCGTTTCATACGTGCCTCCGTGACCGCTTACGTGCCTGCTGCTGTGAAATTGATTTCTAACTCATCCTGACCAAGTAGGACAGAGTGGAGCAGCCCCGGGAGATTTCTGAGGTGGGAGAAGACCACCACAGCTTTCTCCCAAGGAGCCAGCCGCTGTTGGGATTGAACCCCCAACCTTCTGACTAGCAGCCACTGTACCGCTAGAGTTCCTCTTTTGATGCAAGCCCACTGCCTTCCATGCATCCTGGTTCATATAAGGCTGATAGGACAGAATCGGGCTGCCGGACATGGGTGGGGGTGTCCCAGGGCTCTTACCTTTACAGACACAGACTGTCTCATCTCCTCCCCCCTGAGAAGCAGCTGGTGGGTTCAAACCACCAACCTTTCTATTAACAGCCAAGCACTTAACCACTGTATCATCGGATCTCTTCTTGGGGTCCTCAGAGAACCCTCAGAATTCAGAGACCGTGTGAGGAGGGTCACTCAGGGTCGTTTCCCACTGAATTGGGGCCCCCTGGAGATCAGTGCCCAGTGGTACAGGCGTTGAGGCCAGGAGGAGGTCTTTGTGTTTCTGGGGCACATTCCCAGCGCGGCTCTGGGACTCAAGGTTATTACTTGGGTGTGAGAGTTTTCTCTCCTTGGACAGCTTTCAGCCTCCACCCATGGGTGTTGTCATTCTTCCCTCCCCTTTGGTTTGAATTGAGGATGAGGGTGGTCATTGGCCAGCACAGCTGTGACTGTAACCTTGGAAGAAGGCACGCCCCGGCCCTCAGGCCAGCGTCCTCCCCATGGCCAGCTGCAGTCCCTGGCTGAGCTGCCGCAGATCCTGTGCAGGTCCAGGATCTGCCCAGACCCGTGCCCACAGCGGGAGCCGGAGGCCGCTGCTTCTGAGGGCTAAGCCTGGAGAGGCTCGTGGCAGGCATGCCCTGGCATCCCTCCAGGTGTCTGCCTAAGGTGAGGTCTGTGGAGGCTCTCTGGGAAGGAAGCAGATTCTGCACCCTCCCATGAGCCCCCCTACTCTCTTTACCAGCACCCTGCCCCCAACCCATACCTCTGTCAAACTCCCATCACGCCCAGCCTGAGTGCGGGTGGGATTTGCGGGGTCATGGGGTATAAGACAGTGAATCTACCTGCCCAGGTGGTAGCCCACTGCTGTCAGTAAGTTCTGACTCATAGCAACCCTCCACCAGGGTCCAACGGCTGCAGATCTTTGTTGGGGGAGACCAGCCATCTGTCTCCCTATGAGCAGCCGGTGGATTTAAACAATTGACCTTTAATTCAGCAGCCTAACACATTCCACACAGCACCACTGGGACTCCTAGAGCCGGCTCATGCTTGTACCTTATTCTGAAGCATAGAGAGGTCTGGCTGCATAGCCATTAACTTCTGCTAAGTCCGCTCCCACTCGTGGGACCTTGTGCACAAGGACAAGACGCTTCCAGCCCTGTATCATCTTCAAGTCCATTGCTGCGGTCACTGTGTCAGTCCGGCTCATTCAAGGTCTCCCTCGCTTTCACTGACCTTCTCTACCACACCAACCCTGATGTCCTCTTCTAGTGACTGGTCCTTTCTGACGACTGAGTGAGTGACTCAGTCTTAAGACAGTAGCCTGTGTGTCTGTCGCCAGGCCTTTCTTCCTAGTCTTTGTTAGTCTGGAAGCTCTGTAGAAATCTGCCCACCACAGGTGACCCTGCTGGTATAGGAAACACCGGGGTACAGCTTCAAGCATCGCAACAACCCAGACTGACACTGACAGATGGGAAGGGGTGAAGAATCAAAGATTAACTTGAGCCCAGTTGACTGCCAGCTCAGCTCACGTTTGTCCCTGAGCCCCCAGGTGCGGTCCACTGTCCCTCCGAGCGTCCTTCCTGCAGCATCCCAGGAGGTCCCTGGGAGGACAGATCTGTACCTTGATTCCTGTCTCCTTCTGGTGGGAGAGTGCTAGGCGGAGGCCAGCCAGTCAGAGCCAGCTCAGGGGTTCCCTGCACCTCGTTTGCTTGCTCACCACTGTACCAGCACCACAGTCAGCGGGGTCCTTGGCCTCTGCCATCCGTGGGCACCTGCAGCACTGAGTGCTGGCCAGGCTGCAGTCAGCCCTCACTGGCTCCCCAGGGAAACTCCCTCCTGCTTTCAGGTGCGTCCACCTGGTGCCGCCTTTGTTGCCAAAGCCTCAGGGTTTGCACAGCTGCCCTGACTCCCCGGGGACCTCTTTGTTTAGGATGGACATCGTCCTCCTTGCATTGCTATCACAGAAGCATGCTTCTCTCTGATTGTGTGTTACACCAAGTAGCCAACATAGGAAGCGCGGAGGCAGGCAGCCTCTGCTCACGGCCAGCACCAAGTCCCTCCAGCCAGCCCTGTTAGTGCTCTTTAGTTAAGCAGGCGATTGCTGGAAGACTGGCATTATTTGGTTTTTTGCATGTCAGAGTAGGCACGGGTGCTTCTGTGCCCTGACCACTAGCCCCCACTCCAGTGTGGGAAGGAGCCCTGGCTCTTGGGGTCCTTTGGAGGCCCCTAGATTGTCTGCTGGTTTTCACCACCAAAGGTAATACTGCTTTGAGGAGTGTCCTTAGTACAGGCATCCCTCTTTTCATTGCACTTCATCATGCTTGGCTGGTCTTGGCAATTTTTTTATGCCAGAGTTTGTGGTTTTTTGTTTTTTGGTTTGTTTGGGTCCCCCCCCCCCAAACTGAAGGGTTTTGGTGGTCCTACATCAAGCGAGTCTGTTGGCACTATTTTTCCAGCAACGTGTGCTGACCTCATAAGTCTGTGTCACATTTTGGTCATTGTCTCAGGATTTCAGACTTTTTACATCATACTATCGCATGCTTCATAGACTGCTCACTAACAGGGTGTCAGTGGCTTCCAGCCCACAGCCATTGCCTAGAACAGAGTAGACCTGCCTTACAAGGTTTCCAAGGCTGTAAAACTTCTCAGAAGCAGATTGCTTTATCCTGCAGTGACCGATGGATTGAAACCGCCAACCTTTCCGGCTGATGGATTCAAACCATTAATCCTTCAGTTAGCGGACTGATCCTTCATTTTCGACACCACCAGGGGTTCCGATGGGCAATCAGCCATGTGTGTGCCTTGCTGAATTGTGGTAGTCGAGAGTTCAGCCCCCGCCTCCCACCTGTCTCTTTACCTGAGTGTCACATATTTCATGGGTCCTCTTCTGTGGCATAGGTGGTAAAGTGCTTGACTCCTGAATGAGAGGTTGCCTCTCCAAACCCACCCGGAGGCATCTGGGCAAACAGACCTGATGATCTGCTTCCAGAATAGTCTAGCCTTGGAAACACTGTAGAGCAGTTACATTCTGCACACGTGGGGTTACTGTGAGTCAGAAGGAAATCAACAACAGCTAATAATAAGACCATTAGAGTTAAGTAGTTGCCAAAGCGCCTGTCTGGTCCATGAAGCCACATACCCCACCTGCACCTTCATCAGGAAGGGTTGGTGGCCACACCTGACTTAACACCACGCTCACCTTCGTTAGAAAGGTCCCAGCTGGAGTCGGCACTCCTTGTATTTTATGGGGTCTTGGCCGATGCACCTGTGTGAGCATGAGAGTCAGAGAGAAAGCTCCAGGGGAAAATGAACAAGGCCTGTGCCTCCGTCTGGAGTCTCTGTCCCAGAGCCCGCACATCCTGCTTCTCAAGGTTCTGCTTGAGAGCGGCACCTCCTGCCCCTCTGTCCCAGAGTCAGTCCCTCCTGCTCTGCCCAAGAGCCCGCCCCTCCTGCTTCTCAAGGCTCTGCTGAGAGCCCACACCCCCCGCTTCTGGAGTCTCTGTCCATGAAGCTCAATGTCAAAAGCTGATGACTAGCGCACAGGGTCAAAGTCAGCTGTGTCCGAGAAGTCAGGCCTGACGTCTCCAAAACAGAGTGCCGGCCTGTGACGGCTGGTTTATTGTGCGTCTGCATGGCCCTGACCCTCAGTATAATATAGCTGTCCTCGAGAACCCAGCCAAGATGCAGACCTCCTTCTGAGGTGCCCCTGGGTGGACTCAAGCTCTCAACTAGCCACTCAGTGCATTAAACCCTGCAGCAGTGCTTTTTACCAAAGCTTGATTAAGGTTGCTGTTAAATGCCGTCAACGTAGTTCTAATTCACCACAGCCATGTGCGTATCAGAGCGCAGGATGGCCTAACCCAGCCCTGTCCGCAGAATCACTGCTGTGCCTGCCCGTTGATGCAGCCAAAACTTCCCCTTGTTAGGTATCAGCACCTCTAACACATTCATGACCATACACAGCAGAACAGAGCCTGCCCGGTCCTGCTCTTCACAACCTCCACTCTGCTCAAGTCCACTGTCGCAGTCGCCATGCCGGTCCATCTAGTCATGGGTCTTCCCCTCTATTACGGACCATCTGTATTTCCAGCGTGATGTCCTCCTCCAGGGCTGGCTCCTCCAACAATATGCCCAGAGTATGTGAGACAAAGTCTGTCTGTGCCTCTAAGAAACATCCTGGATACACTGCTTCTAAGACAGGTTGGTTCTTTTGACAGTCTGTGGAATGTTCAGTAGTCTTCCAACACCGTAATGCTAAGGCATCGATTCTTCTTCCGTCTTCTTCAACTGTTCCATTGTCACATTCATTGGAAACAGTTGAAAATTCTCTGGCTTGGATTAGGCACACCTTTGTCTTTAAAGTGACATCTTTGCTCTTTAAAGAAGTCCTGGACAACAGATCTTCCTGGAGCAATACGTCTTCTCCCTTCGTGGTGTTGATAGAGGCTCCAAGTGAGATGACAGCTCCTAGCTCCTCCTCTCCGTTTATCATGATACTGCTTGTTGGTCCGGTTGCGAGACTTTTTGTTTTCTTTACGGTGAGTTGTAATCCATGCTGAAGGCTTTAGTCTCTGGTCTTCCCTACGTGCTTCCCTCCACTAGGAGCAAGTTACAGATTAAACAAGACATGATGCAGCGTGCCCTTGTTCTGTTTGAATGACTCTTGGTCAGTGTATAGGTTTCATGTGAAAAGTTAATTGTTCTGGAATTTTTGTTCTTCTCAATACTATCCATAATTTTTTTTGATCCTTCACAAAGTCCAAAAAACACAAGTAACCATCGTTTTGGTCTATGCACTTGCTGTGCATCTGAGAGCTGGAAAGAGAATGAGGATGACGGGGAGATTTTGTAGCCTTTGCACTGTGGGGTTGGAGAAGTGATTGAACATCCCACAGATGGACAGAGAACAGACAGATCTGTCTTGAAGAGTGTGCGGCTGGAGTGCTCTTTGGAGGCAAGAATGATGAGGCTTCGCCTCACATGCTTTGGACATGTTGGAGAGGGACCTGATGCTGGGAAGGAAGACCCTCAGCCAGGTGGATTGACATGGTGACTGCTGCAGTGGGCTCTTCTGGAAGTGTGAGGGTGGCGCAGGATAGACCCAGCATTCAGGTCTTTTGATCATAGAGTCACTATGAGTCATGCGCCACTCAATGGCACCTAACAACAACATATGATATGTCTGTATTGAACAGTGAATAACGGAAGACCAAAGAAGAACCGATCCCTTTGAATTGTCGTGTTGGTGAAGAGTATTGAATATCCCATGGACTGCCAAAGGAACAAACACGTCTGACTTAGAGAACTTACAACCAGGGTGTTCCTCAGTGCGGGATGGTGACACGGCATCTCACATACTTTGGACATTTTGTTAGAAGGAACTAATCCTTGGAAAGGTTGAGGGTCTGTGAAAGACAGGGAAACCCTCAACGAGATGGATTGACCCACTGAGCATAACAGGGGGCTCGAGCATGGTGGAAACCGTGAGGCTGGGGCAAGTCTGACCTGTTGTTCACAGCACCTAAGAACATTATCTATGTACATATACACACGTGGACATGTAAATACGTATGTATTTGTGTGTGTTCAAATCCGTCAGCTCCTACACAGGAGAAAGATGAACAGTCTCTGTGATGTACAGCCTTTGAAACCCTCTCGAGGGTCAGCTATGAATCCGTTTTGATTTGACAGCTGTAAGGGGTTGGGGTTTTTGGTTCTTTTAATCACAGTGGGGAAGGCTCGGGTGGGGAAGGGCAGGGCAGGTGAGATTCCCATCCATTAGGGAATCTGTCACAGTCAGACGTCCGCACCTGCTTTGCTGCCCTCCTGAGGCTGCCGTGGGTGAGCCCACCCTGACCCCTTCACCACAGCCCATTGCACAGCCCTGCGGCCAGCCACGCTGACCTCAGAGTGGCACCAGATCTACTTACATGACCCCAGTGGCTGCAGTCACATAATTTAGGACACACCGTATGCAGACCGGTGGACGGCTGGCCCAGGTGCCAGCCAGCGTGATTGTCCTTTTAATCAGCAAGTGTGCATTTATCCCCTTTCTGGCATGAAGCAGAGCCCATGAGTTGTTGAGCCCTGCCTGATGCTCTGGAACCAGCCCCCCTCTTCCCAGGTTAGGGGTTGAGTCTCAAGGTGAGTCAGGTTGTTGGTAGCTGCACTGGCATTTGAACTCCCCAGGCAGAGCTCTCCCTGCGTCCTGGGGCCTTCTGGGTCCCTTCTCCATCTAAGGTACCCAAGCTGCTAATGGGGATGGGGCAGGCGGGGTCCTGGTGCCCGGGTGAAGGAGCTGTCCCACTGAGCACTGGGATCCCGTCCCCACAGTTCTGGAAGGAAAGGACCAGTGCTGCCGAGTCTTCAGATCTGAATCCTGTGCTCTTGAAGTGACTCAGGACTCGGCCTTCATCCGCTCGTCTTCATTCTCCACACCTGTCTTCACTATCTCCCCAGGGCCCAGCCTGGGGCCAGATCCCACGGGAGCCCAGCCATCACCACTGGGTGCTTTAGCAGCTCTTTGTCACCGTGTGAGCATAGTGTGTGCAGCCGTTTGTGCCCTGTGCCATGTTGTCTGTCTTGGGGAAGGGCAGTCCCTCTCACCAGATGCCCTGGTAGATACGGGAGAATGGGAAACAGTGTCATCTCCTTTGCCATACAGATTGTCCCTGCGCTTCACCTGGGACTCAGTGCACAGGGTCAGGGACACGACTAGGTCCTGCAGTGGGAACAGCATGGAGTGTCACCTCCAGTCACTGTGCAATGATCTTGACCCTCTGCCCCAGCTTGGGTCCTGGTCACCTGGTTGTCACGGCCAAGGCCCGTCACTTTCCCTGCACCTTCTCTGGGCTGGTAATCTGGGTGGAGCCAGAGGGCTGCCATCCACCACCTCACGCTCTGTCCTTCCCCTGCAGGCCTTACTGAAGATGGACTGCCAGGGGCTGGTGGTTACACTCATCCAGGACTTCGTGCTCCTGACCACGGCTGTCGAGGTGGCGCAGCGCTGGCGGGAGCTGGCTGAGAAGCTCGCCAAGGTCTCTAAGCAGCAGATGGATGCGTATGAGTCCCCGCACCGTGACAAGAACGGGCTGGTGGACAGCGAGGTGAGCAGTCACAAAGTACCCACTGCCCGCGCAGCACCACAGCATGGCCGCGCTCCCTTCCCTCTTTACCTGACCTCTCCATCTCTTGAGTCACTCACCTGTGTGGCCAGACCACACCCACCATCACTGAGCCCACTGCGACTCATGGCCACCTTGGAGGACAGAGCAAACCTGCCCCCACAGGGTTTCCAAGCCTGTGATCTCTAAAGAAGCAGACCGCAGCCTCAGTCTCCCTGAGAGACGCTGGGGAGTTTGAACCACCAGCCTTTTGCTTAGCAGCCACATGCTTAAATCACTGTGCCACTAAGTTGTTTGTTTGGTTTTTAAATCAGCTTTGCTATATCAAGCTCATTCCAGCTCACAGTTGCTAAATGATTAGCCCAGAGAGAGAAGTATCTAGGGAAGGAAGAAGAAACACTTTCAGTTTAAAAACCTTGGTGTTGCAATGGCTAAAGAATTAGGCTGTTACCCAAACACTCTGAGGTTCAAACCCACCATCTGCCACACGGGAGAAAGATGAGGCATTTTGCTTCCCTTAGGAGTTGTTGTTGTTGTTGGTGGTGGAGGAGGAGGAGGAGGAGGTGTGGTGGTGGAGGTGGTGGTAGTGATGTATGTGGAGTTGGTGGTGGTGGAGGTGAAGATGGAAATGGTGGTGGTGTGGATGGTGGTGGAGGTGCTGCTGCTGGTGGTGGTGGCAGTGGTGATGGAGGTAGAGGCGGTGGTGATAGATACCATCATGTTAGTTCCGACTCCTTGCCATCCTACATACAACAGAACAAAGCCTGACCAGTCCTGCTCCATAGTCACCACCTCTGCTGTACTTGAGTCTACTGTTGCAGTCGCTGTATCCACCCATCTCATTGAGGGTCTTCTTTTGGGCTGATTCTCTGCTTTTCCAATCATGTCTCTCACCAGGGACTGGCCCCTTTGGAGAGCATGCCCCAAGTGTGTGAGATGAAGTCTCACCATTCCTTCTTCTAAAGGAGGGTTCTGGCTACACCTCTTCCAAGGTTGATGTGTTTGTCCTTCTGGCATGGCAGGCCGTGGCATAGTCTGCATTCCTCACCAGCAGTACAATTCAAAGGCATCAATCCTTTCTTGATCTCCTAGCTTTTACAGGCATGAGGCCACCACCCCACTGCTGTCAAGTGGATTCTGATTTATATCGACCTTCCACTGGGTTTCCACGACTGTAGATCTTCATGAGTGGAGACTGCCCATCTTTCTCCCACTAAGCGTTTTGCATGATATCATCAGGACTAGGAGGTGTTTGGAGAAACCATGGATACCGTGGTTTGCGTCAGGTGCACGTTAGTCCTCAAATTAACATCGTTGTTGGAAGTCCTTTGAACAGCTCTGCTCTGTCCTCCAGGATGCTATGAATGGGATCAACTCTGTGACGATGCATTTGGTTGGTTGGTTGGTTGGTTGGCATGCTCACCCAGGCAGCATGTGCTCAATACCTACCACAGGACCTCTCTGAGAGTTTTCTGACTCCTCCTCTCTCTCTTTCTGTTTCATGTGCCACCCAGGCCATGTGGAAACCTGCGTATGACTTCTTACTAACGTGGAGCCACCAGATGGGGGACAGTTACCGCGATGTCATCCAGGAGCTGCACACTGGCCTGGACAAAATGAAAAACCCCATCACCAAGCGCTGGAAACACCTCACAGGAACACTGATCCTGGTGAACTCGCTGGATATTCTGAGAGCAGCTGCCTTCAGCCCGGTGGACCATGATGACTCTGTGATTTGAGCAGGTTCCGTCCCACTCCTGAGCTGGGGTCACACCTGGTCACTGTCGAGCTGGGAAGGGAGGTATAACCACCTGCCCAGTCAGCTATCAGGGTCCCTAAAGGCCAGACCCGGGACCAAGCACATGCCATATTCCACCCTTCTCCTCCATCAGGGAAGGCTGAGGGAATTTTCTACTGCAGGTTGTTGCCAATCAAATAGCTTTCTATTTGTTAAGTGTAAATTTAAAATCACTTTTTTAAGACATTAGGGCATGAGGCGGGGGGCTCACATGAGAAAGGTTGTCTTACTTTTTTTTAAAGGACTGTAAAGGTTAAAAAAAAACAAAACAACCACAAACCACCACCTCCTGGGGGCAGATGCTATTGAGGTTTTTATGTTGTATAAAGACCTTTTTAAATTATGTTACAGATGTAAATATGTATTTAAGGTCATTGGGACATTTCTGATTCCCAACCACACTTTGCATTTCAGTGAGCACGGGAGGCAGTTATGCGTGTGTTGGACCTTCTCCAGTTTATACTTGTAAAAGAGCACATCAGATAAGGGAGAGTGGTTTTCAGTAAATAAATGTCGTTCATGCCCATTGTTCTGAGAATTCCCAAGGCCCTGCTCACTCTTATTTTAACTTTCCTGCCTGCCTTTCCCTCATGTGATTCAAAATGGTGGTCCACAGCACATGTGAATATTTTGTGAGATTTAGTGGACAGTTAGACCCAACGTTAGTGCTTAGGGGCCATTGAGATGTTCCTGCCAAGAGTTTAGAAAGCAGCTGAGAGTTGACATTTTTTACAGGGGAATATTCCCACTCCAAACCTTGGCTTCTGCCCGGGTGCAGTTGGTTATTAAAAAAAAAAGTGCTGTTCAGAAGTAAGGTGGGCATTCCGAATCAGAGCTGGGAAGCACCTGTCCTTCCTATGCCCATACTGCATACGGGTCAGCCACAGAAGCAACACCATATGTTGACAGTGGGGTACGTGCTACCATTTGCCAAACTCTCCTCTCCTGGTGCACCCACCACATCTCCTTGGAAGTAAGTCGCATACAGGAAAACCATTTTATGCACAATATGAAGGTTATCTGAGCAGGATGAACCGTTTCTTCAAATCAAAATGTTCCCCACATAAAATCAGGGACTTAGCATAAATGCTGCTTTAATAACTACCCCCTGTAGGGATGTAGACTAACTTGGGTGTGGGGGAGCAGACTTAACCAGTGTTATAGATGGAGCCACAAGCTACACAGGTGAAATATACAGCAATTTTATAGTGTGTAGTGTGTGATGATTCCCAGGAACCTGCAAGGACTTGGCTGTGTTTGTCTGCCACGGCCCTGGCCTCCAGTAGAGATTCTCTTTCTCCAGATGTGCTTTCTTAAAACGTGTTATCATTTTGTTTCTAATGATCGAGCAAAAGTAGTACACAGTCTCTTATTGGGCCGAAGCATCACTTCGTATCTGCTGATTCAGTAATTAAAGACAAACCGGCTGACCAAAAAACAAAACAAAACAACCAAAATCATCCAGATATTTTATGTCACAAAGCTTGGAATATAAGAATTCCACAATCCTCACCTGAAATAACCGTAAAGTCTGCCTCTCATCTCCTCTGCCATCTTCCTTAGCAGAGATCATCTCAAAGAAGAAACAAAACCAGTTGCACCTTAAACCATGAATATTTTTCCTCAGGGGCTTTAAATAGTTTCCTATGCAACTTGTCCTGTAGCACAAGTTCTAACAAACGTTGCAGTAAATTTTATTTGGATATTTTATAACTTGTTACGTGTGTGTGTGTGTGTGTGTGTGTGTGTTTTTTCTGTACCCAACCAAACACAAAGCTCAGAATAAGTATCTGTGCATACAGAAATGGGCCCCTCCTCTGGGCCAGCACCTGTAGATGACAGGGTGACAACACTTTTATTTAACCAGTAGCTGTCAACCCGTGGAAGCAGGAGTGGCATCCACTTCTGTAATAGCTTGCCTCCGGAAACCCTATGAACCTGGAGAGAGGATGAAAGTCACGCACACAAGTGTCGAGGACTTTCGTTCATAGGGTCACTATGAGTCGCCTACGACTCAATGGCACTTAACAACAGCAACAGCTGTCAACGAACCCCAACTCCTGGAGCTGTCACGTATATCAGAGTAGAAATGATCTCATTAGGATTTTCAATGACTGATTCTTAGGGAAGAGATCACTAGACTCTGGAGTCGAACTTTCAGTTAACAGTCAAGCACACTGTCTAACTACCAAGGCACCCCACCAATGCATTTGAGAGTTATGTATTTTATTTATCATTTAATGTGAAAATGTACTACTTCCACTAAGACTGCCGTCTTGGATACACCATGGACCAGTTCTACCCACTCTTGTCACATGACTAGAAATCCGAATCCATTCAAATGACACCAAACAACAGCCCAAATGGGAATCATTTTCTCCCTAATATGCATTAGACCAGCTCAAGAAGCTCAGATAAAGAGTTCTTTATGATATTGATAATCACCATTAACATGCGTAGTTGTGTTTGTAGATATGCTTTAGGAAATTGGGGAAACAGAACAGTTAAGAAAAGTTTGCTCTGATTTCCTGAGAAGGAAGCGTTTCAGTGTTCACTTGACCATTCAACCTGTCATGTCAAATGGAACATGATTTGTAATCTGTACTGTAACCTCCACCTCTACAAAGTTATTACATTATTTGGCACTGGCACCCAAACCTAGATATATGTCTGAAATTCCTTCTCTCCCCTCCAGCAGTCACCAGGTCTCCTCAACCCACCAACCCTCCCATCATGACCTGACTGAAGATACTTGATCTCCTTCCCACCACACCCCTGTTCCCATCTGTCTTTTCCCATCCATGGATATAGGAGAAAGACCTTGGGAGTCCTCCCTGCTTCCTGGATGGTCAACACTAGGCTAAGATATCCCTCTAATGTGCTCATTCCTGCACCACCTTCCTCTCACATGCCCTTGGTCATGTGACATTGAACTGGGTCCCCAAGATACAAGGGAAACAGGCTTCTTGGTTACACCCTCACTCTGCACTAGCTCACATCTGCTTGCTAAATCACTCTAATGTAACACGATCTGAGGTGGCCTTGGAGGTCCTGACTCCTGACACTAAGGCCCCTTTGTTCTCCACAGCCTTAAAAACCCTGGCACCAGGAAGGACTCCCCCATGAGTAAGCCCCCTCTTGAGCTCCTTTGCTATCTACCCCTGGAGCTGCTAATATCTTTCCTCAATTTCTCAGCTTTCTCCATATTTGGAGGCAAATTATTATAGAGTCTCTAGTCTGTGTCAATACACCAAAATATACCTTGGGATCCTGACACCTGTCTATCAGTATGATCCGTTTGGGAGTAGCATTCTTTATGTATTTAAATACAGGAATATCAGTGTTGTTGAGACGTGCCACGGAGTCTGGTTTTCAGCTCATAGCAATGCCATGTGACAGCAGAATTTTGTTAACTGGTCGCCTAGTGGTATGGAGCTGCACCACCAGTTCAGAAGACACCTGGTTCAAATTTACCAGCTGCCCCACGGGGGAAAAGATGGTCAGTTTCCTATGTGACTTATGGCCTCTGAAAATCCCCTTCAGGGTCAGCTGAGTCTGTCCCGCCTCAAGGTCACACAGCACAGCAACAGGCTTTTTTAGGCAGCTTGACAGCACGTAACAACAATAGGTTTTTCTAAGCAGGTATTTTTCAGAAGTAAATTGCCCAGTCTCTTATGGAAGCTTTGAGTGAGTTTGAACCACCAACCTTTCAGTTAGCAGCCAAGCACCTACCCCTTGGCTACCAGGGCTCCATATGGTATCAGTATAGTATGTATCTTAAACCTAATCACTTGTGAGTTGTAAAAAATGCAGACCAGACAACAGATGAACACAGAGGTCACATGGAACTCTCCAAAGAATGCAAAAACTCTGGAGACAGAGGTACCCCGAGGTCTGACCACTAACCCCAGAGCAAAGTAAAACCACCGCACTGCTCTCGAGTCTCTTCAGATCCAGGGATCCCTGCCAAAGTACACTTACACGCTACAGGATTTTCAATGGCTGATTTTGGAAAAACAGATCCAGGGACCCTCCCAGGTTTCCAAGCTGGGGATTATAATGGGAGCAGATTGCCCCTTTCTCCCGCTCGGTAGCTGGTAGATTTGAACCGTGAACCATTTGGTTAGCCGACCAACACATAACCCACTCCACCACCCAGGCTTCTTTCGCTTAGAGCCAGCACCCTAAGTTTGCACTTACTAGCCTCTGGTGGCCTGATGGTGAGAAGACAGGCTGCAGTCTCAAAAGCTGCAGTTCAAATCCACCAGCTGTTAATCTCCTCCCGTGCAATTTACTGCCTTTGAAAACCCACTGGAGGGTCAGCTATGGGTCGGTTCCATCACACAGTAACAACAGCAGCTTGCTTTGAAAAAGAAGCTCAGGTAGCTCAAATAGTTAAATGCTTGGCTGCTGATCAAAAAGCTTAGTGGTTCAAATCCTCCCAGGGGCTCTACAGGAGAAAATCCTGTTGATCTGTTTCTGTAGAGATTACAGCCCCGGAAGGCTCATTTCTCCCCTGTCCTGTGAAGTTGACAGGAATAAGACTCGACTGGATAGCACACAAACAGAGAACACTTGTTTGCTCAAGCACCCACTGCAGGAGTCCTGATGCTGCCTCCGAGGACACTGCTCCGTCATCCCAGCGCGGGGTCCTCCCCACCGCTGTGCTGGTCTCCCTGGAGGTAAGGTTCCCGCTCATCTGCAGGCCTCACACCCTGGGATCCTTGAGAACAATGAACAGAGATGGTGAGGCCAGGGTTTTGTTGTGTTGTACACGGGGTCTCGAGTCAGCCTTGACTCGATGGCACTTGACTGTAGCACCATTCAATCTCTGCTAAATGAGTAACACAAGAAACTGGGCCATATGAAAAAAGGCTTGAGGGAAGGAAGACTCCGCAACAACAACCTGATAAGTGGATGACACAACCTTTCTGAAAATGA